GAGCGCCTGTCGCTTGTGGATGTGGCAGCAGAGAAGTGCAGGGTGTCCTCAGACACGGAGATGCTTTCAGCCGCAGAGATGCTGTTTCCCCACGCAGGACGTGGGGTGGGACAGCAGGGAGGGGCCCTTCCCACCCCGGGCAGCAGTGGGGTGCGTTGGAGTTCACCTCATTAAATGGGCTAAAGCTGAGACAGTGGAGGTAAATAAAACCACAGAGGCTGAGGCAGCCCCGAGGGTGGAATTGTCCGTTTTGATCTGCATTGCAGGTGCATGAGCATCCAGGGTACTTGTTGGCTTTGCCTAGGTGGTGAGATGCTCGAGCTTAGAAAGCTTTATTGCTGATTTTGCAATATAAATTATGCTCCTTAATTAAAAAAAAAAAAAAAGACAAATGGGTGTGACTGTACAAACTGTGCCTTTTCCCATATAACTTGCTCATTACTGAATGTAATTCTGTAGTGCTTTATTATGACTGAAGCTCTGGGAGAGGCTAGAGTAAATACAGACGTTTATGCTCTTTAACTGCACGTTGCTTTTTGATTTCAGTATTTACAGCAAATGCTTTCTAAGCAGATAATGGCAGACTCGTAGTATTGTTAATTTTTCAAGCTTTTGGTTATACTGAGGTTCCAACAGTCATTTGTAGTGAAACAACAAATATCAGGAGGTCATAACAGAGGAAAGTATCAGCTGCTTAAGTAGAAAAGAAGAGTATTGCCAACAACTGATTCATCACTACTTGTTTTCATTTTATTAACCTGCTTCTGCTTAATATTTCTTTAAAGTTTCCTCCCCCATCCTCTTAGGTAAAAGGTAATCTCATGACCACTCCAAATGCTGTATGGAGTTTTCAGTCCAGTAGTTGTTGCAAACTCTAAAATAGCAATCTTATTGCATACCTTAAAGTTGTTTCCTTTACTTCAGATTTCAGATATAATCACATACTTTTAGGGCTCTTAAATGATTATTTTTTTTTAATGCATTTTGTCATTGAAGTTAGAAGAAAATCAAACTGTTCCTGTGTGCCCTAATTCAAGAGGCTGTAGGTATTAAGGACAATATATTTGTTCATCCAGGTCTCCTATGTTAATCAATCCTTTAACAGCAGCAGGCAGAAGAAAAACTCCCCAGTGCTGTTATTCCTGCATGTGGACCATAATGTAAAGTAAAATATTTCTTGAACGTTATAAACAGTATAATAGAGGGAATACAGTTGTAATAAACAAGTTCACAAGTTTCATTTTGCTGCTGTGTTGGACTCTTATTTCTAGGCATTTCATTACTTTTTTTATGGCTTTAAAAAATGGTGTTTTTACATAGCAAAGCTTTGAAGGATTGCTTTTATATCCTCAGGATTTACAGTGTATTGTGGTACTTAATTGTGTAAAGAGAACACTATTAAGTAATTTATCTTTTTACTCAAATTCATGTTTAACCTCATTTTTCATAGTTAAGTTTTTTAAAAAATGTAGCAAATTGTAGTTCACTGTACAGAGAACAGACAGCTTCATCTTTCTGAAATAGTTTATAAAGCTTAATATTTTTTTTGCTGACAAGTGACACTTCCTGTATGTATTTGTGTATCTCTATATGTATGTCTGTCAGTTACTAACAGTGGTGGGTTCTGATGAGCAGTAATTTACGGAAAAATCAGCATGTTGGATGACTGAATTTTGCTCCTTTAGGGGAAATAGATATGTTCTGACTAGACAAGTGCATAGATTTTCCTGGTGCTGGTTTAAAAAGCAAAGCCAACGAAGAAAGGCAAGATCTCAGGGTTTTAGTGTTGAGGAAAAAAAGATGTTTGCAGGAAAGGTCTGTGGTTTGGCTTTGTGCAGCCGCTCTCCTTGGCTGCAGCACACAGGGAAACGTCGTGAGGAGCTGTGAAAGGTTGGGAAGCGTCTGGCTGCCTCATTGCAGCTTCCACACTGTTGTTATTGATATAAACACGCTGCAATGAGCCAATATTGTGTAACCATAACCAGTATTGTCGGGCCAGCGTGGCAGAGCTTGTCCTGGCCCTGGGGACGGGTCCTGCGTGCCGCTGCCCAGCGCCGGGGTGGGGTTGGGGCAGGGAGGGTGCCCTTTGTTGAGGCAGAAATCTTATCCCCACAGCTCCTGTTTCCTTCGTGTCCGCAGCGTGCCGGAACAAACTCTGCTCCTTTCTTGCTCACTCGTCTCCTGAATTATCTGAAAAAGCAAATGAAGATAATGGATAGATAATGAATATTTAGTAGAGCCAAGTTTGAGTGTTACCTCCCCAGTTACCTGCTGCACCTCACCTCTGATTCCTTCACGAGACCTCGCATCCTTTATGTCTCTGGCTGTAGTATCTTCAGTGAATGTGTGCCTGGTTAGTCTGTGTGCTTGTTTTTGAGTGACAGAAAAATTGTCTTCCTCTCAAGAAGGATGTCTGGCAGTGTGATAATGGGTGTTAGTCACTGCCTGTGTGATCAGTGGATGATTTTCACTAATAATGTTTTACAGTTAACTACCAGCTCATTTTTCTTGGTGATGTTAAAGAACATGGTGCTATAAATGAGAGCAGTATGTCTGTTGACTACTAGAAGTTAGAGACATGACAAAGTATTGCTGAAAATAACGTCCTTAGAGTGTATCAGAACTTCTGCAAACTGTTTGGGGTTTTTTATTAATCCTTGAAAAAAAGCCTTTTGTTTTGATCACTGTTTCTTTCCTGCTACAAAGAAGCATGTTTATTCTCATTTTACTCCCAGAAAACCTTTGATTTGTCCTTCAATTGTTAAAATACCTTGCTTCTTGTTGGTGTTAATTATTTGGGTGAGAGACAGGACTTAAGATCAGTGTTATTTTAAATTGTTGCTCGACTGAAAACTGTGACATTTCATGGCTTCTCCCTAAACAGAATGATAAACTGCTGCTGAAAATACTCCAGGGAACAGTAGCTCCCCGTAATCCGAGTCAGTGCCCAGAGGGAGGACACAAAAGGAGCAGCGGATCGCATCTCTGTGGAGCAGAGGTGTGGAGCTCAGAAGTGTCCATCTGTGTGGAAAAAATGGTGTGAATGATGTCATTAGCGACAGGTTTCCTTTGCAATAAAGGTGTGTGTGCTTGTTTGCTTTCTGTTCCTTGTGAGAGCTTGATTTCAGCTGTGTACACTTTCACTGTCTCAGTTTGAGGTACCTGGGTTATGTAAGTAAGAGTATAAAGCACCTCTCTTTGAAATTCTTTGTCCTGACATCTTATTTACTTTACACTAAAAAAAAACCCCAACCCAAAAAAACTTAATACTTACTTAAGAGAGGACTTGGGTCATCACCACCACTAGATTTCCTTCATCAGCAGGACTCAAAACCTTTACTTTAGCAAAGTGGAGGCCATTTTTTGTATGTTTGCTCGTAGTTGCTGTTCTTAAATAATAAAATCAATGGCTTATGAAACAGCATCACAGAATGCATTAGAGAAAAGCATATTCCTCAGCCTGTTAAACTTGCCCCAAAAATAATTGTGCTGTTCTGTAGAGTTGTTGTTCCGATAGCTGTTCTCTGTAAATGGATCTCTCCTAGGAGGACACTTTTATTTAGCTTGCTGTTAGGCTTCAGTGCCTTTTGATGTGTTTCGCACATATTCCAGGTAAAGTCTGAAAATCATCATTTCTGCAGTTCTTGTGGTAGGAGCTTGAGCTCAGGTGAGTGCTTGGAGCTGGCACTGCTGCAGGAAACAGTTCTGCCTGTACCAACCCCCCCCAACCTGGTTACTGGTTTATTTTCTTTTGTTTTATTTTATATTTTCCCACTTTCCCCATCAGTTGTCTGCAGCGCTGCGTGCTGAACCCATCACGTGAAAAACAGCCCATGGACAAAGGGGTTTGTCAGCTGGACCAGGTCCCTGACCTGCTTCACTGAGTGACCAGGAAGGTGATTTTGAAGCATTTCAGAAGCACAACAGTAAATTCTTGCTCGTTATATGCAAGTGGGAGGAGTGAGACAAAGTCACAGCCAGGCTGGGGAGCTAAATAGCTGCAGGCCTGCGTGGTGGCAGGTTCTTTTCCTGTCATGGAGAGGGAAGAAGTGCCCGACCCAGTCACTTGTGTGAAACCAGTACAGTCATTTTTTTAGTTTGTATTTCATTAAGCCTTCAGAACTGTGAAAACTTTAAAGATATGTTCTCTTTGAATTCTTGTGTGATTCCCATGTTACTCATCATAGAGAATAAAATTAAAAGAGAACATGAAGTGTTCATAAGTGAATATTTGATATCTGAAAAAAAACTCTCGAGTTTTCCACAGTACAGTATTATTTCTAAGCATAAATTTTGAGTTATCATATACTTGTACAAAATCCTCCCACAGCACCTTACTAGCTTAAGTCCTGATTCAGCTTTAACTGAAGCTGGAGAACTTCTTAATGACTTTGAGTATCAGCTTGTTCATTTAGAGCATCGAGAAGAATTAAATCATTGCTAATAGGACTGTGTCCATTTAATTGTTCCTCCAGCTGCCATACTGATTGCTGTTGGAGTACCAAAAAATGACTTTCTTACTAAAATACTAAAACTTGTGTTTCCTCAGGGACTTTCAGAGATCAACAGTGAAGAGTCTGCAGGATCTCTGATCAGAAAATGAAGGGGAAGCAGGGCAGAGGACAACTGAGTAAGACAGCATGGAAAAGCATTAGAAATAGAAAAGGGGCTGAGAAAGCAAAATCGTCTCCTTCCTCTGGCAGGAGAGTGGCATGTTGCCTTTCTCCCCTCAGTCGTCTCCAGGAAAGAACTACTAATTTTGCTTGGCTTAAAACACACAAACTAAAAGATCATGAAAACAAGTTATTGGGACAATAATTACATACAAGTATTGTTGAAGTATAACACGGAAGGCAGAGGAAGAGGGACTGAGCTGTTGTAAGATGTTCTCCCTATTGAGAAGGGGAAGGACATTGAGAAGGTGGCTGTGGAGGCCTCGTGTACAGTCTGAAAAGCATGACCTCAGGAAATCCTGAACTAATTAAAGTGGTTTAATCTAATGCACAGATGAGTGAGGGGCGAATGTAGATGTGAAACTGAGTTATAGGCTGTTCCCAACCTGTGTTGTTGCTGGAGCTACTTTAGTACAATCGTATCAGGTTGGGGTGTGGGGGGTGACTTAAAGCAAATGTCCAAGCAGAAGGATACCAAAGTCCTCGAGCCGGCTGTGGAGATGGCAGGGTTTCCTTTGTTATGTCCTTTGAAATAAGCTGAACAAACACTTTTGGGGTGGCAGATGTCTCTGGAGATGGAGAGCTGATGTCAGCAAAGAACAGCGAAGTGTCTGTCAGTTGGACATTTTAGCATTGGAGCGACTTATTTAGAAATGGTCAGTTCAGTGACAGCCTTTAAAATAGGAACCTTCAAGGTTCTTAGGAGAAGACTCCTGTGTCCTTAATTAGTTGTTGAGATTGTATTTTGTATAGCATACAAAAAGCATTTTGGCAGCTTTTCTCACATTTTGAGAGGACATTGGCTACGTACAGTTGAGAGGAAAATGCCTGCCTGCCCCTGCCTGTTTCCAGAAGATTTGGATACGTGTTGGCAGAGCCAAAGCAGCTTCTCGGGTGATAGTCCCCCCATCCACGTAAAGGGAGGTTCTTCTGCTTTGTTTAGTGGATACCAAACAGGAATGAAAATGGTAAATAATTATGGTTGGTTTGGCTTCATCCAGGAGCTGCCTTTGTGTCTAAAATCCTAGATTAGCACGTCCCTTCTCTCGCCCTGCAGTGGGTATAGAGATGCTCGGGTTTTGTGGAGAGGCACCTGATACACCCAGGTGCTCATTACCTTGAAATATTTTGAACTCTGTCCAGATACTTAAGATGGAAAAGGCCTGGAACCTGCCCATTATCTGCCAGGCAAGATTTGTCTGTTAAAATGTTAGTGATTGTTTATGGTGAGCATGTGATGAAGTTGCGTTCCAAAATGCTCTTGTTTAATATTTTAAATTTTCTATTTAAAATGTATTTATTTTTGTTCCCTTTTTAAGCAAACATGCACTTGTAAAAGAGACAGACTGGTTCCTTTCTAAGGTGAGGTTAAAAGAATGTTAATTCAAGTTACCTTCTTCAGTTTAGTGGCAGATGAGGGCTTAGGTTGGTGCAGCAAGGATTAAAATTTTGTGCTGATGTTCCCCAGGGAATGCTGTTTGACTTATTCTAGTTGTCCCTCCTAGGCTATATTCAAGAGAAACTGTGAATCCATTGTTTGGAGGACTTCAGGCTCAGTCTTTGAGCTGTCTCCAGATCTACATTCCTAACTAGATCTAGAAACATGCTGTGATGTTGGTGATGCTGAGGAATTTTGCGGGTTTTAAGGGTAGAATGCAGCACACAGCCCCAATGCAGATGGTGTAGCCGACACCTTCAGCACGTTGGTGTTGAGCACGGGTCTTGCTGTGGAAGAGGAGGTGAGCTGGGCACTGCAGAAGAGGACGTGTGCTGGGCACTGCAGTGCCCCTTTTCATGCCCCTTTTCCTGCTTTACCATCCCCAGCAAATGACCCAGGCGCTCCTGGTGGGAGTTTGCCCAGCTCTCTATTGCACAGCTCCTTTTGTATCGAAACACAAAAGTTGTTTGTTTTGGTTTGGCTTTTTTTAAAGTTGCTTTGGAGACGAGGGGGAAGGGGAAGAACCATAGTGACTGACTGTTGTGTGGTGTGGGCAGTCACAGCTTTCTTCCCAGCACTGGCTTAATTAATCTGACGAAATCCAGGCAGAGGTGGGTTGCTTTCAGAGCTGTCCCACTGATTGCCGTGGTGAGAGGGTGAAGATTGCTCATCTGGGCTATTAGGGGCTCAGGTGACTTCTGCATTTTGTACTTCACCTGTGCTTTTTGATCATACCCTCGTTCTTGGCTGCACGTTCTCGTTTCAGAGAGCAGGAGATTAAATCAGTTTAGTGTGATCCCAGCACTGTTGTGCAGGATTTCCTCTTTGAAACCCCAATGGGAGACATACCTGAGTAGTTGCTTCTTTATTCTTTAGACTGACCCCTCCCCAGACCATGTTTTCTGAGATCTGTGCTGCCTGTGGAGCAGTTGTTGGATGTGATTTGTGGCTGGCTGCTATGCACCAACAAACAGGGAGTTAACAATTAAGGAACCTGGAGTAACTGTGACTCCTGCTAACCCAGCTCCCTGGAACTAAATCAAAGTGTTTGCACAGGGAAGTCCTGGGAAAATGTTCACTGACTTCTATTAAAAGAAACTGCTAATTCTTTTTCAATATATTTGTTTATTTTTCATTACATCTCCTGAGTTACAAACACTGTTGCTGATGTTTCAGTTTTTCTGTTCAGGTTATAGTTACAGGCACAAAGCCACTGTGAGTAACCACGGTGATGGCAAAGGCTTTGGGGTGTTATCTTGTAGGCTGTTCTTTCACCTGTCACTGTCACTGCTTAGAATTTCTTTTGGAAAATACCTTTCTTGGTTAAAAATCCCTTCTGAGCCTTGGTGTGCCGTGCAGTCCGAGCCCCAGCTGTGGTGAGGGCATGGACCCCCAGGTTTTATTCTGCTATCATACTTAGTTGGTAAGAGTAGAATGATCACTTAGGAAATTGGATGATTCAGTGAAGCTTCTGTCTGTCTGAAGCCAGCTTTGCAAACAAGATAATGTCACTTTGAAAATGTAACACAGCTAGAATATTGTTAAGCTTTAAAATTAGTGGTGCCCCGGAGTAATTGCTATGGACTGTGTAGTCCGTCCTCAGGTAAGTCCTCTGGTGCTGTGGGCTGTGAGGGGTCCCAGTGCCTCTGCTGTCCGGCTGTGGAGAGCAGACACGGCTTGGATGAGCCCTTCATTTCTTATTTAGCCAGCCCAGAAACCTTTTCAGAATGTTTTTGGTCCATTGTTTTTCCTTGTTTGCTAACGATGGCGATTGTGAAATGACTGGTTCCACTCAGCAAAGCACGAGTTGGCACCGTTACCCTCATTCTTCTCGAGCACTGAATTTAATCTTTGATCTTTGTTATAAAATAACCGAGAGCTCTGTTTTGCCCATTGTACAGCACTGGATTCCTTGAGAGGCTTTTACGCCTTCACTTTATTTTTTTACAATCAAATAAATGCTTCTGGAGGGATAAGGAGTTGATGATGATGTCAGTTAAGGTCACACATGAAATCGGGAAGACTCTGTGTGTATTTATTTATTTACCCCCCTCTACCCCCCCCATGTTTTAGGAGGCGCAGAAGCTCTGAGTCTGGTGTTCTTTTTGGGAATAAAACATACAAAATTAAATGCAGGGCTGTGTTATGTTTAGCAATGACAGAAGTGTGTTGCTTTCTCCGAGGCTGTGCTTTACCAGTTTTAAACTCATAGAATCTTAATTTGTGTCATAAAACTACATACCAAAAAGAGCCCAATGGAAAACACTTGCCATGGCGCGATGAATGGGTGAAGGTGCCTGTGAGGCAGCCACGGGGCAGAGTTCGGGTCTGTCTCACACGCAGTGTGTGGTCCCATAATTAGAGCCCGTGGCTGTAATGCCGTTACAGTTGTCGAGGCAACGGGCGTCCTGATTTTTTATTTACCTTTGTAAGCTAAATATTGTCATTGTTTTTACAAAGCTACAGGGCACCTGAGTTTAGCCCTTAGTGCTGTGATGCCAGGTCACCAGCCGCGCACAGGGAGCGCACGGAGGCACCCAACAAACCTTTCCCTGTCGCTGCTGGTGGTGGGCCAGGGCTGTGATAGCGTTCCATGAGCTGATTCACCTCCTAGGAAGTATTTCTCCCACCGTGGCTTGTGTGATTCCCACCCAGCATGTGCTGCTGCCTGTCACTCTGCTGTCCCCGTCAGCCTGGCGCGCTGGTATCTGTCTGTGCCCCTATTTCGGTGCTGCTGTCGTGCTCCTGAGCTGCCTGAGAATGAACCTGACTTCCTGGTGTTTTCGGAAGCTTCCCAAGCACGGCAGCTTTCCTGCTAAAGCAACTTGAAGTGCAGTAATGTGGCGTTACTGAGCACGTATGTTTCTGGAAAGTTCTCAGGTAGAACAGCCTCTCATGTTCTCAGCAGCCTCTCCACCAGCTGTGGGTGGAGCAGCACCGGGTGCCCTGGCTGGAGCAGCACAGCTCGCTCTGTTTGCAGAGTGAGAATGATCACATCCTGAATTTCAAGAACTACTGGAAGTACACCTGAGCACTGAGGCTGCAGGAGGATTGCACACTGTCACCGTTGCTTTTTCTCACTGGTGTGCTTATTTTCACTAGGAAATAGGAGAATAAACAAAATTGTGTCATGACAGACTTGGTGACGATTCCACCTGGTGACTCTGGTTTGTGTCTCTCTCTGGATGCTCCTGCAGGTACTGCCTCTAAATGTCACAGAAGCAGTGACACAGCACAGTGCCTGCGTCTCCACAGGAAGCATCTGGCTGCTCCAGGAGCTGTTTGTAGCTCTCTGTCAGGGAACTCATCTGGAGTCTGTGTCTCATGGGCAGTTTGGCCCGTGGGTGTGTGTAAAACCATTGTTGCCTTATCAGGAGCAGTAGTAACGCTGGCAGTGCAGGGTGTGTGAGTGAGGATCTCTGTGTGTAAGACAACTCGCTGTTACAACTCTGCATCTGTTTCCTGACAGGGTCACTGCATGTCAGGATGGCAACCTCAAACCTGGAGAACCAGCTGCAGAGTGCCCAGAAGAATCTGTTGTTTCTCCAGCGGGAACACGCCAACACGCTGAAGGGCCTGCACGCCGAGATCCGCCGCCTGCAGCAGCACTGCACAGGTAGCTGCGAGAGGACGCCGACGCTGGTTCCGTCCTTAGTTCTTTTTACAAGAATGGAGTAACTGCTTCCTACTTCAGCAGTGACACCTCAGGGACAGAGCCCCCCACCAGGGTGAATCTGGGGTGATCAGCACGTGGCTCAGGGCACAACTGTGGGCAAAGATTTTTCTTTTTTCCCTTTTTTTGTTTTTTTTTAAGTGACCCGATAGTTGCAGTTTTACAGCTCGGATCATTTGCAGTGGATCTCCTGTTACCGCTTCAGGTGCAGGGAAGAGTTACTATCTTTTTATTGAAGTATGTCATTGTAAATGTGCTCACCGGGTGGGGCATGGGGTAGATGATGTTGTTCTAACAAATATAAACAACTTTTTTCCTCAGATTTAACCTATGAGCTGACTGTAAAGAGTTCAGACTTGTCAGGTAAGGATACGCTGCATTTTCCTTTTAATGTTCATGTTAAACTTCCTCATCTTCTTCAGTGTTTGTATTTTCTCCGTTACAAGTAGGTGAGAGTATTTTGCACTTGGGATGTTGACTTTATAAATTCTAAAGGTATAAATAGTTTTCTCCTTTCCAGACTTACTGTTATTTATGAAGTAAATATCCCAAGTTCTTAACAAGGTCACTCAGGAAATCTTTTGAAAGAGCCAGGAATGGAGTGCAGAACTGCTGACTCCTCTCTTTTACTGGACGGTCGGTTCCCTGCGTGCTGTGTGGGAACAGGGAGCGTGAATTTTGGGGGGTAGAAGAGTGGGACTATTATTAAAACTTATCTGCTACAGTAATTACACCACAAAGCTTTTATTTATTTTATATATATATATGTATGTATGCTAGATTCTAATTATTTTGAATGTATTATGTTATCAACAGTTAAGTACAGGAATAAGATACTCCCTGGGAGTAACCTCCTGGATCAGGGGTAGTGTGGGACAGGACGTGTACTGCGGGTAAGAGAGACCGTGGGCAGATTTAGCAAAGCAACTGAGCAGCTTTGCATGTGCTCAGCATTATTTTTTGATACTGCAATGTTGCTCAGATGCTTCTCATCGCAGGAATTTCAGAGTAGGTGATGCAACAATGATGCTTGTGTGGAGGTGACAGTACCTAACGCTGTATAGTCGGTGGCCCTGTGACAGGGAGCTTGTTACTGGAGAAATCCGGGCTGCTGGATCCCCACAGAGACTTGTGCAGCAGCACAGCCCCAGTGCAGAGCACACCTCTGCCTTCCTGTCATGGGCTTCAGCTGTCCATGGAGGGGTGAAGCTAAAGCCTGAGCATGTTCTCCTGGAGAGCTGGGACAGCTGCTCCATCACTCTTTACAGCCAGTCTGGCATTTGCAGTGGGAGAAGTTCCTCTTAATAACCAGAGGATTTGCCAAATGGCTCCAATTTTGAGCAAGTTGAGCAAGCCTGGTTTCTGTAATCCCTGTTCCCCAGAAGGTATGAAGTGTCTCTACTTTGTAGCAACATTATTACACCCCACTAAACTGTGGTGAGTGACACCAGCTCGTCCTCATTTCCTTAAAAGCTGTCCTGGTGCTTCTGAAGTTGAAGTCATTTTAAGACTATTAGCTGAAGTTAGTCTTTGGGATTTCTCTGTGGCTTTGGGATGGCAAAAGGAACCCTGGGCACTATTTTACTTAATGGCTATTGTTAATTTGGAACACTTCTCCTTTTCCTCTTCCTCTAGGAAATGGTAGTTCAAGAAGTGATGAACTCAAAAGGAAGTGTGAAGATCTCGAAGCTCAGCTGAAAGTCAAAGAGGCTGAAAATAATGAGTTACTGAAAGAACTTGAACAAAAGAATGCAATGATAATGGTGCTGGAGAACACTATCAAAGAAAGAGAAAAGAAGTATTTGGAAGAGTTGAAAATGAAAAGCCATAAGCTCAATATGTTGTCAAGTGAACTAGAGCAGAGAGCGAGCACTATCGCTTATTTAACTTCTCAACTGCACGCTACTAAGAAGAAGCTGATGAGTTCAAGTGGGACTTCAGAGGGGACCCCTTCTGGCAGTCCCGTGTTGTCCAGCTATAAGCCGTCCCCTCCCAAAGATAAACTGCCGGAGACTCCGCGGCGCAGAATGAAGAAGAGTCTGTCAACACCACTCAACCCCGAGTTTGAAGAGGCCTACAGAATAGGGTCGGATAGCCGGAAGCTGCTGTTGCGAGAGCCTGTGGATGCCATGCCCGATCCCACTCCCTTTCTGTTGGCCAGGGAGACGGCAGAGGTGCACCTGATTAAGGAGAGGCCGTTAGTTATTCCACCTATTGCTTCCGATCGTGCGTCCGGTGAATCGCACAGCCCAGCCCGAGAGAAGCCGCACAAGGCGCACATCGGGGTGGCCCATCGCATCCACCACGTCGCACCATCCCAGCCTCAGCCGGAGGTGGAAACGCTGGCAGTGGATCAGGTCCATGGAGGCAAAGTGGTCAGGAAGCACTCGGGGACAGACAGAACTGTTTGAGTCACGTCACTGAAACCCTCTACTCTGTTGCTGTTTATGCACTGTGATCCTGTAGGATAAATAGCACCTGCAGTAAAGTTTCTTTTCATGCCCCATGCATGCCAAACTTCTCCCAGATACATCATTAATAGATTACGCTCCTCTAAGGAAACCTGACCTGACTGTGTTCATATGGCGAGGTACATCACTACTCAATGCTGTGGCCAAATCAGGGGTACCTGACCGCTTGCTTCTGAGCGCTGCTCCCTTTGTTGTGACGACACGTGTGGGCAAAGGCACAGGCTGCACTGTCCAGCAATCCGAGTGAAAACAGCCCCAACTGTGACCCTGCAGAGATACCCACTGGCTGTTGCCATTTGAACTGTCAGTGGTTCTTTTGTCTTCACTGTGCACGTAACCACTTCCCACGCAAACACCACCCTCCATGGCAAAGCCTTTCTCACCGCAGCACTGAGAGTAACGCAGATGTACGTACACCTTAAAACGAACTAAGGACATCTGGTCCTGCACATGCACACGCTCTTGATTGCAAACTGTGTTCATGGTTGCTCTTTCTCAAAATCCCAAAAGCCCCAGCAAGTGTTACTTGAGTAATCCTGAATAACTGCTTTGGTTTGTGGGTGTAAGTTAAAAAGGGGGATGGGAGGATGGAGCACCCCTGACAGGGTTAACGACTCTCAGAAGCACTGGGCTGGGTTTTGTTTTGGTTTGAAAACCGAACGGCTCCATGACACACGTTATAGGAGTCAGTGCACTGCACCTGTAGCACCTTCTGTACTGGCTCAGAGCTCCTCTTCCAGGGAGAAAACCCAGCTGGTTATCCAACATGGAAATGGTTCCTTGTGCTCTAACCTGCACTTTTTTGTAAAGGGATTATTTTTGTTTCCTGAAAACCTTCAGACTTGTTCTGGGTGTTGTCAGACAATGCTGGCTTCTGCCAGCTTAGAAACCTGAGCTGTCCCTCTCCAATGCATGTATTTAGTTTTAAATGTAACCGATGTAACCAGTTCACACAGGAGGAGAGCCTGGCATCCTTGATTATTTTTTTTTATCCTTGTGGATTGGGATAGACTTTGCCTTTGCACTTGTCCTGGTTCCCCTACTTTCTACTAAGCAACAGGTAGGCCTGACACCTGTCAGACTAGTTGATTATTTTTCTTTAATTGATATTTTTTTCCTAGGAAAGAAAGGCATACTGAGAGCTGTGAGAGTATGTAATTTGGGGAAAGGAACAAAAATTTGACCATTTTTTCTTAAATTCTGATCAGCACCTCCAGCTCACCTCTGCTTCGCTCTTGTCTGCAGCCTCTGAGTAGGACCAGCAAGAAACAATGGCTCCCAAATGCTGCTAAGCTTATGATGTGCCTTCAAAACCTTGGAACGCATGCTCTGTGAAAGCTGACGAAGGATCCCTGCCTGCCCTCCCGCCTTCCCCTCGCCAGCTGTAGTCTGTCCCTCTTCAGCTTTTCCTGCAGCTGTGTGTTGGTGTCTGTCTCCCTCCGGAGCCTCCGATCCTGTCAGCTTCCCCCACAAAGACCCCGGCAGGATGACAAGCGCTGTTCTTCCTGGCGGCGGTACCGCTACGTTTCCTGTGCAGCATGACGACGTGCAGCCGGGTTGTTCCCCATCAGAGGGGGTGTGAACATCCACGAGCCCTACAGCCCTGTCCCCCTGCACCCTCACGCCTCGGTCACCCGCTGTTCTGAAGCCCAAGAAACACTCCTCGGTGTCGGGCCGTGCCAGTTGTGCGGTAGGATTTGTTTCCTGACTGGTGGGGGGGACAGGGAAGAGCTGTGTTGCTGGGGAATGGTTGGTTAAAGCAGGTTTGTTACTCTCTGGTTTCTGAGTGTATTGCATTAACTGGCAGTGGCTTTCGGGGTTTTTTTTGGCGGTTGTTGCCATATTTTTGTGGCAATTTATTGTATGACTGATCTACCCTGCTGCTTGTTGAAGGACGATGGAAGGCACCGCTTCTCAGCACAGCAGAAGTGATGCTTTGGGCAATTAAAAACATTTCTTATAACCATATGGGCAAACCTTGGTCTTTGTGTGTGCGTGAGACTAACTCCTTACCTCCTTCACATACCTAGACCAGCTCGGAGCCTTTCTAAAAGGAAACAAATTATGAAAAACACTTTCCTCCTCAGATGTGTTTATTGATAGTAGTAGCTTGGTTATATCACATTATTTCAAGTCAGGTGTGCTGGATGGCGTGAACATTGTCCCACCCATGCTGCTAAATCTTTGCCTGGTTGGATTCGCCCCCTCCCCACAAGGGCTGGATTCAGTCCGCATTCAGGGTGAGACAAACGCCTTGAAGGACCCAATGGGAAATGTGCTTCGTTGTGTAAAGATCAGCTTCAAAAACCAGGCCGACCCCCATGGCGTTCCTTCTCAGGGAGGTTGTGTACACGGGTGTCCGGAGGGTGTTCTAAAACAGCGTGGGGGAGAGAAGGACACTGAGTGGTGCTTGAAGTACTACATGAAATTGGGAACAGGAAGGGCTGCGAGGAGACATGGCTGTCTTCAGAAATTCAGGGGGTTTGTTATAAGTTTTAAGTAACTGATACCCAGAAAATGTAAATATCCTTCATGTCATGAACTAGTAATGGGAAATAATGGAAATAGTGGGAGTCTGAGTGTCCTGCGATGGTTCCATGCTGCCTGAATGGAAAACTGAGGCAGCAACTGTGCTAACCCCCCCTGAGTGTCACCCCTAGAAAAGAAAAGCTTCAGTGACAGTTAATGGAGGAAGAAGAGTTAAACTGTGTACTTTAAATACCAGTGGTAACGATAAAATACCGCTGCGTGTGCAAGGGGGGAGGGACCCGCGAAGGAGATGTGACCACAGGAGGAAGTGAATAAGCTAATGGGCCGTGGTGTCCCCAGAGGAGCCGTACCTGCAGCTTGAGCCTGTGAGCTTCAATGGGGATTATCTTCAGAACAGGCAACTCCACCAGCAGCACTCGGGGCTTGCTTCTGATCAGGCAGCTGTGCTCCATGTCCCAGTCTGCTCCTTCCAGAAACAGGCCAGAGACAAAGCAGCCTGTGCAGGCAGAAAATGCAACATCTTGGGTAAATTGAGCTACTAAAACATCCATTTAAGAGAACTGTTGTTCCTGCAGCACGCGCAGTCGTGACCAAATTCACTTCACTTCAGACTGAGTTACCTGTCTGCGGTGTTTGGGTTTATAATACAACTGTGACCTCCTTTGTCGGGGTTTGTTGTGGGGTGGTTTGTATTGTTGGGTTTTTTTTCAAATTAAAATTGTCTTAGCTGCACTACTTATGATAAACATTATTAGGAATAAATACTGATTTGCTTGCAGCTTTCTTCCCCACAGTGGGTGCCATCCTCCAGTATTAGCCAAGTTGTAAGAGAGCTTTGTAACCCCTGCGGGCCTGCTCGTTAGAGCCTTCTGACAAAAGGTGAGGTCTTGGGACAGAGTTATTCTGGTACAAATACTGAGCATTTTGTTGAAGTAGTAAATAATGAATGGTCTGGGTAAGCCCGTGAGATGGCTTTTATTTTTAACTGAAAGTTAGATTTAGCAAAACCAATCAGATTTTTTTTTCCCAATCAGGTTTAACACTCAGGAGTTGCTCAGCTGGTTGTTATAGTCAGTAATTGCAGCATTTCTAGTCATAGAAATTTCATAAGATACATTTACACACTAAATCATACATAGTTGTATTTACTTCTGTTTAAATATATTTCAAGATATTATTTGTGGTGCCAATGGGTCTTTACAAACGGGCTAGGACTGGTCATGTTCTCGCCTTTAAGAGGAAAGTATATAGCTAAAGATACAAAAGAGAAAGAGCAAGGGAGAGGTGTACGTTCAAGTACGTGCACGTGGGTGAGAAGAGCTGAAGAAAGATCACACTGTGTGTTT